GGAGAAAAAGTACCACCACCAAAAGAAAGAGAAGAGAAATCAATCTCCGGAAGCAGCCGGCAGACGCGAAAAACTCACGGAGGAAGAGAGTAAAAATGGAGCGCGCGTGTGTGTGTGTGTGTGTGCAGAGAAAGATATGGCAAGTCCGATCTTCATCTAGCGTCATAACTTTTCGTTAGAAAGTTATCTCTCTCGGCTTCTCTCATCCGTCAACCACACTACCACCGAATGAAAATTCACGGGACGCCCGTGTAATGTGTACATTATTATTTTGTTTTATTTTTTTATTTGAAATTAATAGGTCCATGTGTAAAACACAAAGCTGACTACGTTATCGAGCTACCGTCCGAGTCGTCGGGAAACCTTCGCGATGGCTGTGCAAACTTACAAGTTTGACAACTGACCGAAACGCGGTCGATGCCGCACGTAGTACTTTTTCTCCCACCCTCTCTCCCTCACTCTTATCCTATGCCTACTTTCGTGTGTATGTTTAACTGATAAAGAGATATTCGATAACTCGGTCAGGACCCAAATTCACTTTCAGATGACCAAGGCATTCACACCTCAAAAGCCAGTTGCAATATAGATTACGGATAAAATAAAAATCATCTTGTATACCTACAGCTTCTTGTTTAACGAAAAATTACTTTTCCGAGCAATGGAAACTAGCATTATTGAGGAAAAATTCTTATACGTAAAGTTTCATCAGTGTGAAGTTTGTTATGGTAATAAATTAAAAAGGCACGTGTGCCGGTCTTCTCCTGTGCATGTACTTTTCGTTTGGCTGCATTTTCATTTTTCTCGGCATCAGTGTCCGAAAGCTATATGTACAGTCTCAACAAATGAAGCCTCGTCGTCCCCTTATCTGATGTTTCGTTGGTACCTGTAAAATTTTCTAAATGAATCTACCAGAATAGATTAAAGGGCCTACACATACATATCTAAGGGATAGTAGGGCATGACGGGCACCCATTATTGTTTACACTCTTACAATTTTTTTCCACCTTAAATATAATTCTCCAGTTGAGCATCTTTCAGAGCGTGACACATAGAATAAAACTACTCAATAAATAATCAGTTATCATATAATAAAATGTAGTTCTTAAAAATGCTCATTCTGCCCCCCTGCGGGCACAGTGAACATAGCTGTAGGGTACGATGAGCGCGGGATGATTGAAATAATTCGATGGTAGGTGAACAACAGTATTTATATTAATTAATTTTTAATGATATTTAACAAACATAAAAAATTTATTTAAGAAACATGAAACATTTATTTGTTAAATCATTGTACATTACATGTAATATCACAAGTTACATTACAATCTGTTAGATAAGTTATTTTAATACCACAAACATCTTGCCTTAATCTCATAAATTTTGTGCTTAGTACAAATAACTGTATGCCAATATCACATCAATGTTGCATTCTAATATTATAAAAATAAAGCTTCATTAAAATAAAATATATACGTAAAAAACCTCTTCAGTCTTGCCAGTTTAAGATTGTAGGAAAAAAGAACTAAAATTTATAGGATTCATAGCAACTGAATTAACCAAAGAATCACTTTGTGTAATATTTTGAATATTCGATTTGAATATTATGAATATTTCTCTCCATCTTCTTTTTGTATCGTCACACCATTCTTATTTTTAGTCAAGTCACGATCCACAGTTAAACTTACTTACTTACTTATAAAATAAGACAGACTAGAGAAATTCAAAGCTAAAACTAAGGTTAAGTTAATCAGCTTTGTTTTGATTCGAACAGAATGACAGCGTCTGCTGCAGACGCAGAGTTCTCAGGCTCATTGTGCCTCAAACGCGGTGCCCATCATGTCCCCTAGAAGCCATGTTTTAAAATATATATAACTTTTTAATGGTGGAAGATAAAAATTTTTTTTCAACGGATCTTGAAAGTAAATCAAACAGACTGTTGGAGAAACTTTACGAGATAATTACTGGAGATAATTTTTATTGTAAAAAGAAGCCGTGAAGCTATCATTGTCCGCAGGGTTATTTATTAAAATATTTTTATAAATTTTTACAAATTATTTAATTACTTTTTATCATGATACTCTTTGAGGAAAATAGTGTTGATATTTTACAATGTAAAAAAATTTATTTGAGAGAAAAAAATTAATTTTTTCATTGAGTACATGAGGTGCCCGAGTTACCCTACAAACTCACGCTGCCCCACTATCCCTTATGTACCCTTCTTCTTTTTCACTATACTGATGTCCTTTTGTTTTGATGAGCCAAATGTTTCTTTGGAACGAATCAATCCCACCCGTCGTTGCTGTAAATTCCATACGATATGATAAATCTGTACAACAAAAACAACGTGAAAATAGTAATAATAATATAGTGTTTCGGAAATAATGGTGAGATCAACGAGTAGTTTGTGCTAATTTTATTGGTACTTGTTTGAAAGACAAATGGTCGGGTAATGGTACTCGAAAAGAGCATTTATCTTCTTCGGAGTTATCGACAATTCACGCGGGAAACGACTATACGTCGATATAATTGTTGAATTAAACGTGTGTGGAAATTTACTTTTGTTTTTTATTTCCATTTTCCGGGTGTACGTCAGCAAAACTGCAGTCGTGTCTCGCATGCATTATACGTTACTCGTGAGCTGTGAACACTTGATGGCTTAAAAGGCAAAAATACACAGCCTTGAAAAGAAAGGAAGTGAAAGAGCAGAGAAAAAACACGTGTCCGTCGCACGATTGGCACCAACTGCGAAATGACTTTTGTTATTTATGCAGGATAAATAATGGGGGATCCAGGAAAGGGATTTGCTATTTCTCTGTACTTTTTCGGCTTGAAAGAGATGGGTAACACTGTGGTACTGGTCATGCACGCGGTCGAACAAACAGAAGCAATTCTCACTCAATGGAAAGATAACCAAGTACAAGAGTTTTTTAATAGACGCTACCACTCGGACGGGTCCCCTGTCGATGGCGTATTCACGCTTCATATGCAACTGACTCGAGTTTTCCGCAAAATTGTCCTCTCTTCTGTGAGTCGGTATACCTATTGTATCCAGCACAGAGTTTCGGATGAAAAAAAAGTACTTGCAAAACGGTGTATTGTATCATTTGGATAACTTTATGTGGACAATGACAGCTAGAGCGTGATGGTACCAAATGATCGGCCACTTGTGAGTAGTTACCGTATTGGTGCACTGAGCATTTACATCTATAAATAATGACAGTTGGTATAGGTGCCATTACGTGCGCGCTGCCCACTTTGATGAATCAAATATGATGAATGCCGAGCCAACTTTTTTGTAAATATACACGTGGACGAGCGATAGAGCAGCACACGCAACTACTTATATGTGAAAATATATATTTAAATGGCACCAATACATTATCTTATACGGCATGTGTGCCAAATTTCAACTACAGGATGATAACGAGCTCATTCGTGAGTTTTTCCTATCTCCTCTTTGAAACAGCGCATGCACCCCTAAAACTCGGGCCATATTAATTACCTGCACTTGGTCTTTTATTTACTTCGAGTCAATACTTTGGTGGAGTCAAGAGCTCGTCAATTTCAGCTATGTTGGAGGATGAAAAAAAAAAAAAAAAAAATAGCTGCAACGGCGATCGAAAAGAAGGGAAGAGGATGATCCAATGTGCTCGTTAGTTTGACGCGTTAATCTTCACTTGTAGTTACAGTGGAGCTCGTCAGAGAGACGACAAAGACCGGGTAAAACGTTACGGACAGAATTGCGGAAGGGGACAGATAAGGCTCCTTTCCCCTGGTGTAATCAATCAAGTTATGACAGTTCAAAAGAGAGCGCTCGTGTGTCCTCCCTCCCGTCACCATCCAACCGGTTCGCCTGGCCCTTGCTATTTACCTAAAACAACTCGTAATCTGCTTTTCATGCTGCAAAAAAATAACTAGATCATAATTATTTGCGTGCGGATTAATGTATACAGTTATATGTAAGTCTTGCTCCTCGTTCTGCTTGAATTTAATGATGCTTTTTAACCGTCAACATTAAGATCAGTCCGTTATGAATACTACAGGTACAAAGAGACAAAAATACAGAAATTCAGTACATATGATATTTTGATTTTAAACAATGTCACTTCCCCCTTTCTTGTCATTTTACTACTGTCGATGAATTTTTAATATTTCAGATCCATCGCGAAAGGGAGGACAACAGGATCACAGGACAGGATTCAATCTATCTTATCACATATTTAGATAAACAAATAAACAAATGTGCAAAATAAGCAATATTATATTAAAGTAAGTTTGAAAAATATATTTAATTGTCTTTTGGCCATCGCCGACTATAAAATTTATATATACGCATCACTGTTTAGTCCTATATTTCATGAACCAAATATGATTCGCTTTGTTTTTTAAATAATCATACAATTTTATTAGTAAATGCGCTTAAATTGACCCCGTTTTTTTATGAATTTTCTGTTGAGAACTTGAACCATGCCACGAAGTTCGTCGGGGCTATACAAAGTACCCTTTATTGCCTTTTTAAGAGTAATAAGAAATTTTTGATGTTCATTCTAAATAATAAAAATCGGTTGTATAATTTACATTAAAACGTAATTCGTTTTATCAAGCATATAATTTTATATTAATTATTATATTTAATACACGCAATAAATAATACACCCAAGCGATTTCAAACATATTTTTGAGAAAATTAAATAAAGGAAGAATCATTATTAAATTGTTGTCCTTTCCATTTCTTTAGAGTAACGTTTATAATAATTTTTTTGGCGGTAGACAATAGTTAAGATTTTTCAACTTTTCTCCCTCTCCTGCACGTAAGTATCTGTAAATATTTATAATAAAATACTCAAGTGTACCTTTAGAAATTATTTATCAACCAATCACTGTAATCATTATTGACTTGCTTAATTTTTTCGTACAAAACATTTGAATTTTTCGCGCTAAATTTTTTGTTTACCTTACGAGCGTCGTCTGCTTGTTGATGACAGAAGCGAGGCGATAGATCGTTGAATTAAGCTCCCATGAAAGTTATAATAGTATACTATAAATTTCAATTTTTTGACGAGAAAACTGACAGAGGTAGAATCTGCATTTGAAAAAATTGCTGCTTAATGTAGATTATGTAGGTAAGTAAAATCGTTTAAGTATATTTGCTTTTCCTGAACGAGTAGATTTTATTGCTAGTGATATAACCTTAAATATGTCTGCTAAAACGTAGCAACTGAAATACAAGTTACTCGCCTTTAATTAAGTTAACGAGCTTGATATTATATAATAGCAGTTTGCGTATTTAATCATTTTTTCTTCTGTAGGCAATAATTTTTTGGCGTGACGTACCTACGGATACTTGGTTACTGGTTGTTGGTCAAGAGGCTGACAAATACGAAACCATGGCTTTAAGGAGTGACATGAATTATATTATGAAGGCTCGTGAAGGAGTGATGAAAAGCAAATTTTATGTTAACCAGCTAAAAAATCTTATTCCAATTGTGGAGCCCAATCTTTATGACTCGGAATCCGCTGATTGTGTACTCGAATTTTTGGTCATGACAGGTGAGCGCTTTTTACCAGAGGTAATTTGTAATTACCAATGGTTTTTTTGTTTCCGATTGGATCCAATTTATATTGATTTAATTCAATAAGATTTTTGAACTTTTATTCTCTAGAATGTTAATATTCGGAATAAAAGTAATGCATCTTGATAAAAATTTTGTTTAGGTGGTGATGACAATGGTAACCACAAGCTTGGCTAAAAACTTGACTATGGCAACCGAAGAGCGAGACTTTTATCACTAGGCTGCATGTGCCATGAAGCCGTGGTATGGTCCACAGCGGTTATTACTTTCATCGATGGCAGATACCATCTTTGACAGGTACATATTAAAGTATGTTCCAGATTTTCGAATTTGCTATCATGATTAGTTGACATCGGTTCAGTCAAGACAAAAAATTAATCCAATCGATTATCAAAAGTAACCTTTCGAGTCATTCAATGAATTTTTTTTTCAAATTATTGGTTACTCTGAGTATTAAAAGTAATTACTAAGATTAATATTTAATTTATAGTTGAACTCTTTACTTAATAACTCAATTTTTCTCTTTGCTTCATAGATTCAGCAATGATGAGTCAAGGATAGTTAGCAATGATTGTTAGCAATGGTTACCATGCTTGGTACTGGTTATCAATTTTACAGGTAGTACAGAGTACATGAAGGAATTTGGTCCTGAGTAGATGGATTTTTTACTCCATACCAGCGTTATTGGCAGTGTTCTGGCTCTCTTATGCCTATTAGGTGGGTTGATTTCATAAAACTTGATTACATGAGAATTAATCATGCGGGTAACCAGTAAAATAAATTATTGACTTGTACCCTTATTTCTAGGTGATCCCTCGATCATGAGAGCTGCTTTGTGTGTAGCTGGTGTTGTGGGAGGCATGGATGGATTTTATTTCAAGTGAATTAATAAAAGTTTCAGTTGTATCTATACTGCACCAACAGTCAACGCATTTGGAAGTTTGACAGCATTTAGCAGTCTCACAGATGTTAGTTAACTGAACACTGTATGCAATTAAAATTTAATTCAGAATCTCAAAAAAAAAACTTTTTTCTAACGTTCATTTCACGAATGTCAGTAAATTAGGAGAACACTAGGGATCGATGTAAACTTTAAATTTGTTGAAATACTTCCATCTTTATCCTTATTTTTTTTGTCACCGATAATATAACTTTTCTTGATATTAAAAATTTTTTTTCATGCAAAGAAATGAAAACAAGATGAGATGATAACTTCCATAGTATGTTACAACAATAATTTCATTCATGGATGTTCATCTGTGTATATAGAGGAAAATTGAATTTTAAACGTTAAGTATTATTGTTAAACTTGGTGTAATGATACACATGAAAATATTTATTTATTTTTTTTCATACAACTGCAATAACAAAAAGTTAACTATGGTTAAAGTGTGTGCCCATGTTTTTGTCTTGACTTTTAAAATTAGAGTTTTCATGCTGCTACGGCCACTGTAGCAACTACATATTCATGATTAAATTGGAAAGACTTGTTGCGTCTTGGCGATGAAACTGCTACCCAGATATGTTTATATAATTTACTTCAATGAACATTCACGACAACCAGAAATAAAATTAATAGTTTCTCTACTTAATATTTTTTTTAAGTCTTCATCGAACAAGTCGTTTGGCATTGTTCAACGGACCAAATTGTTTTTACACCAAAACGCACTCAAATTTTCAATAAAATTTGACATTGTTGATACATTTTTCTGTTTAACCGTATAGTATTAATCAATTTGCAAATGTAAAAGTGATAATCGTTTCCATAAAAACATTAAATGTTGGTTTTTTCATAATTTTTTTCAAACACCGATTAGAATCCATGATAAAAATTTATAATTATATATACAGGTATAGCTTAATATACATTAATTTCTTTTAATAAAATTCTCTAAATAGGTAAAAAGAAAATTTAACATCCATAATAAAATAAAATTAATTGGAGGATCAGAATTACGTCCCATATGATAATCATATGATTAAACATGGTTATTCTTTACAAGTAATTTTCTTCACTTCCCGTTGGATTGCATGTCGTCTAATTTTCGTATTTATACGAAAGTTAGTTTTCGTTCGCCACTTGCGAGAAACGCAAACGCTCGCAAAATCCATCTGGCGTTTATTTGTGATACAAAATTTTAATACTCACTTATATCAACAACGGACATAGTGAGTCTCTACAATACCATACGACCCTTCAGGCATGGGTGATATTTTCTGCAATCGTTATAACAGTAAACGTTACCAGCAATAAGTAATTTTGGCTTGTGCTCTACGTTATCACACGTTATCGTCAAGTCGGTAAGTCAACTACCTTGAATTTACTGGCTCTGTTCTGTAATCTGCAGGCCAGTAGAAACAGCAGATGACGAAAAACATTAATAAAATCTTCGCATTTTTTCCATAGGGTTTTTTTGCTTTGTTCATCGGTGGCCTTTGCTTTTTTATGTATTAAGTATTCTTGAGAAATCTCGTGGCTCCGAGACTCCACGAACATCTTTTGTGCTTCACAATAATGTTTAATAACATTGTAGTATTGAAAAGTTTATCAACATAAAACACAATTATGTAAACATATAAATTTATCCTTGAATTTATCAATTGAATATAGTTTTACTGCTGCAGGGGTATTGGTGGTCTCGTGTAACTCATGGCACTTTTTAGATGCTTTTAATGTCCAAAAATTCGATTCTCAATGATTGTCATTCAGAATGAAAAACTACGATAATCGGCAACCAATCCGCGGACTTATAATCGAGTTGGACGACCATCGCAAGAATTAAAAAAAAAAAAACTCTAAAATTCGCAAAAATGAAAAACTTTTAACGACTTTAGTCAACTACGGAACAAGTATACACTGTGCGCTCATTCGATAGCAAACTTGCACTCGCAGTACTGTGTGCTTAAGAGTATAGAATAACGGGTGAGCTCCTCTTTATCCTCGAATCGGAAGCTTAAGGTGGTACTCGTCCCCCTCGGGAAAAATTGATAGACCACTTCCGCCATTATCTGTTCAAAAGACGCGGAAAAGAAGAAAAAAAAAAAGATTTCAATTCGCCAAGTGCGACTTTTGTCACTCGGAGCTTTTAAGCCCGAGATATCTCGCGTAATTCTTCGCTGTATATGTACACTTTGCCTACAGCTTTTTAATCTTTTGAAATCTTCATCCGGCCTCTGCACAAGCGACAGCGAAGCGAAGCTGAAGAAAAAAAAAGGACCAACTGTTTGATCGCATCGAACGATCAGTTGTTAAAGACAAATTTCGTATCATTGAATATTCTTTTTTTTTTTTTTTTTTGTTTTTTTTTCATCAGCAAAAATCAAGTTCACCACCGATATACGAAATTACCAGAACGTGCATTGTAACGATAACTTGCTGAAAAAATTCTCAACTTCGAGTCAGCGATTAATTAACTCGCAATGTATTACTTCGTTGATTAATGTTTTTGTTAGCACTCGCGCCGTCATTAGGAAAGGCCCTTCCTCCCACACTCGGACGTAAGAGTATAAGCATATCAGCGAGTGGCCCCATATTGGTCCACCATCAATTCAATAAGGAAGGGGGAAACAACACGGCGCTTGTTCATGATGGAGAGAAAAAAAAGGGGAAGCGAAACAAATTAACGGAATCTTGCTGGTGAACGGCAACTACCAACCTACGCGCGTTTACACGAACCTCGTTCGCAATCACGGCCCCACACATGACCGTGAAGTAGATATATACATACAAAGCAGTCTCGTACGGGGACCACCTATAATTGAGATTGCCAATTTCGGTGTCCTGTGCGCAAGTACGTGTACGTATAATATCAAGGAAAACAGGAGTAGGTATACATATTGTATAAGAATGGCCGACAGCGCCGAGGGTGACTCGGGGGGACATTATGTCTACCTAAACACGTATTTACGAAATCGAGGGTAGGTATATTACATCGGATAAAAGAACCAATTCGCGCACACGCGTATGATGTACGTTACTCCTACGCTTATACGTGACTTTTCCTTCCCAGTGGCGAAACCAACACGTATTTTGTTTTCGAGTCAAGGAAAATGGTATCGAGGAAAGCTGTTTACTGCATAAATTGCTCGGAGGCCTATACTCACCAGCTAGAGAGTTGAGGTAAAATGAAATAGTACTTCGGAGGAAGAGGACAGTCCGATAATCGTATCGTATGTAGTTACACACTCTCGGTTTTACTTGCCTGCGGTTGGCCAATCGTCCACCAGCTGGTGGGGCAACTTGTTCCTTGGGACCCTGAACAGCAATAAATATTCAAGCGACTTGACCGTCAAATCGCACGCGTGTGCTCTGATTTTTTTGTAAACTACCCTCTGGGTTTTAAACATTTACACGTTATTTCGCGCCTCCTACAAGTTTTTTTTTTCCCTTTAAACCGAGTGGAACAGATTGCGATACGGTACGATGAAATGGAAAAAAAAGGTCCAAGTGTTGTTGCGTATATATTATGTATGAGCGCACCCCTTGAAACCAACGAAAATTCGTCATGCATCCTCACCTCTGTACGTTATTACACAGAAGCCAACGAATGGGAAAAGTAAACGTTAGGTGCATAAATACTTATACAAGGTGCACCGAGTCGAGGACGCGCTCGAATGGAAAGGTAACTCGTGTACCTACACCGATGGTGTTCCAAGAGGCCCAGGATCGCGTAAATCATGATTATTATGATTCTAGGTGACAAAAACCACGCGCGTACATAATCATCGGCAATAATTCAAGTTCGGTCTTTTGACGATGCAGACCTCGGAGATCGAGGAATCTGGCTTTTGTCACAATGTATACGTATACATGTTTCTTTTTTCCTTGACGCGGAAGCCAGCGCGGGACACAAGAGAGATGATTTATGGCCCGTTCCTCTCTTATATAGCTCTGCTCGTGTCAGACTCGAGGGTCGTGCTTTACGTATAAGGTACATACACACACCAACCCCCCCTCCCGAAACTATTATTTTCTTCGCTTATTGCGGGACTTTGCCCTCCCCCATCCCCTTCCTGCTCCTTGTGATTTTCTATTCCGTGCGTGCGGCTCTTTCGCCGGCAGATAGATATACCTATATATGTGGACAGACAGGCATAGGAGACGTGGAAAGATGACCCACATCCTGATGGGCTTCTTCTTTTCCTTGATAAAAACGATATCGCGTACGGAGACAAAGGGAGGACGGTTTCCATGCTTTCGGGCAGCTGGCGCGCGTGTGCGATTTATTTTTCTCGGCTATATAATATATGTACATACCTGTACGCTTTACACGCGAAGAAATATAAAGCTCGAAACACGCGAATTGGAGGGAAAATGTGAAGAAAACCCCTTTACAATTAAACATCTCGTGTAGAGTCTTGAGTTTTTCCAGCTGCTCGACAAGAGAAAAGAGAAGATCAGCATCCGGTGTGTAAATTAAACGTTTAATTAAGCAAAGTGAGCAACGAATTCGACTTGCTTACATTATACTTGTAAGCTGCAAAGCTTGCCAGGTCAATTATTTTCAGCTAAAGCGGCCCTGTGTATATAAGGTATGGTATGGCATACAAAGTGAGAGTTCTCGAATCCTCGACTTGGGTTTATAAGGGCTAAGAGGTGTATTGTACGCGGAGCAAAGACTTTGGAGGGACGGAAAATTCGCAAAGCACCCCAAAGCCCTTTTGCCAGCCAATGTATGGAAGCGAGTTGCCCAATGTAGCCAAAAAATGCTCTTGGTTCTTACATATCAGCAACGCGTACATTCGCGTTCGAGAGATTTTGAGGGGACGACGATTATGTCGAGGTGTATCGATAAAAAAAAAAAAAATGAAGTGAAAATGTATACGGTCCAGAGAAATCTCTCCTGGATGGAAGGGTACACCTACAACTTGGATAGACCATTTTTCAGCCAGCGAGTCTCTTAATTG